ACGCTGTCACCTTCCCACCGAAGTGGTACCTATTTATCTACTTGCAATTTCTTGCTTTCGAACTGCTAGGTTGGCAGGAGCTGGAGCCAGAGATGGGAGCTCACTCCATCTTGTGGCACTTGGGTCGTGAACTGTTGAACTACCGACCTTCTGGTCTGCAGTTCAGCGTCCTAACCACTTGAGCCACCGCAGCCTCATCTGACCAGGGATGCAGCCAAATTCCATGATCATATTGTTTCGATTTGAAAAATTCCAGTTTCTGCTATGGGTTCTCCCCCGCTTGGGATGAAACCTTGGTCATCGTTCATGCTATGAAATGCTTCTGTCAAAATGGGTGCCGGACCCGTTCTTCCTGTTACCTATGAAAGGCCAGCTTTTTTTTTTCCAAAAAATGGGGGATTGATTTATTTTGGAATAAAATAAGGTGTGTGAACTAGATCCCTGCACCCATTTTCCCACACTTATATCAACAGTAAGTTCTGATTATTAGATCAGGGGGTTATTTGCAGATGGACGCAAAGTGTCTGTGGAGAGTAGTAACATTTCATAGATGAGTGGGTTTAGTATATTTCTGCATTATAAAATTAGATAAATACAAAGCGCTGTCCGAAGACGTTTCCGTGGTCATGTGGCCGGCATGACTAAACACCAAGGCACACGGAACGCTGTTACCTTCCCACCGAAGTGATACCTATTTATCTACTTGCAATTTCTTACTTTTGAACTGCTAGGTTGGCAGGAGCTGGAACTAGAGACCGGAGCTCACTCCATCATGCGGCACACTCGGGTCTCGAACTGCTGAACTACCGTCCTTCCACAGCCTGCAGTTCAGTGTCTTAACCACTTGAGCCACCGCAGCTCCTTTTTTTACAAAGGCACCCACATTTTTTCAGAAAGAAATAAAAGCCACTCCAAAAGCTAATACACAAAAGAATTTGTAGCACCTTTTTTATATGTATATATGGATATGGAGCCTCTCAAACTAGGCATACTACAGACTGCTGGCTCCATTTCCCATGATTTAGATTGGTGGATTAGATCCAGCATTAGTCCAGATAC